TCCAATCCCAGCACCCACATGGCAGCTAACAACCATCCGTAACTCCAGTCCCAGGGGATCTGACAGCCTCTTCTGACCTCCGCGAGCATTGCATGACATGGGTGCACTTGCCTACCAGCAGGCAATACACACATACACATAAAATAAAAATAATAAAATTTAAGAAAAAAAGCAAAAAGTTTGATATCTAAATATTCATTTTAGAAAACAGAAAACCTTGCACGTTCTTCAGTACTTCCTTTACTAAACAGATCACTTAAGAGTCTAGGCAGTATGTTGGTAAATAGTTATGCAAATATGGATGCTGCTACAGGAAAAATTGTAATGAAAACTATTCCAGGTTTATGAGAAATGTAATGTTTCTGAAACAATCATCTATCAAATAATGACATATGTATCAGTGTGCACTAGCACACCCAGAGCTGGATGTGGAAATAGGAGTCATAGCTGAGAAAAGGGTGGTTGTGAGCTTCTCATCTGAATCTCTAATAAGTAATTTGATCTTGCATTTCCTTACGCTTTGTGGAAGAATTTGACTAGAGTTTGATTCTAGGAGTTCTTGTCCAAGGTTTTAGGTGGGGTTCAACATTTTGGTTAAAGCGTCCTTTGATGGTCTATACAAATGACCACTGTACATAAAATACTTTTTGTTGAAATTTCAATTTTTAGCAATTAAAATTGTATGAATAATAAAACTAGAATCAAGTAAAAAAAAAAAAAGCATGCTATAACTGTACCTGCAAAACACTGGAGTAATCCTAACCACATTGTTTTCATTATTAACACAAACCCCTGCTTTTCAAAACCATACCTGTTTCAATAAACCATGGAAGAACATGGTTTCTGTACCACAAGCAAAAGTTAGGACATAAATTTGCTAATTCTTTAGAAAAATGCCCTGACATAAATTTCTGCTCTAGTTACAAATAAGGCATATGGTATTATTGGTTTAAAATTAAGAACCAACTTTTTAGTATATTCAAACTTACACCTATATTTCTTATCTTGCATCATCTGAATTTCATCCTAGTTGTCTGTTTTCAACCAGGAAGATAATGTTGTTGAAGCTCACAATGCATTCTGATAGAAAGGCAAATTCAATGTACTCTTCAAAACATATTACTAGCAGGGTTAAGAACGAGCAAAGGGAATCTACTGGAATCCACACTGGTATCCATACATAACTGGGGCGCAAATTTTTCAATAGTAGTTGCAGCATCTTCTTGTGGAGGACTGTTGAGGGCTATATAATTATGGTCACTTAAAGCTGCTAAAACATTTGATGGCTTCTTCAGCTCATCCAAAGGCAGATCATAAGAATCTTGAAATTTTTTTTCCAAATCACATCTTGGCGTCTCATCTAATATGGAAAGCACGGCTTTTTCCATGTATTGTGCCACATATTTGTCTGCAGAGAGAGTGTTTTGTTACATGTGATGAGAGAGGAAAATGTTTAAACAAACTATAATTCACAAGTCTTATACTGTTAAATGCTTCACAGAAGAAAATAAGAGTTATCCTTCCATTCTTCCAAGTTAGACTCCTCAAATTGACTGTCCTAACCATGAATAATGTACTATTAGTCTTAGAATCTACTACCTGCTTTTCCTAATGTATATACTCGTTCAATCTTTTTGATACCTCCATAGGAGAAAAATGTCATTTTATTATATGCAAATATGTTTTGGAGTTAAGACGGCACTAACAAATAGCACATCAATTTGGTAGAGTATATTTCCCACAAAATAGAAGCGAACTGTGTGGAATAAGCTTAGTAAACCACAAAGAACCCATTTTCTGAGGAAAAAAATCTTTCGATGTCATGTGGAAATCACAAACTTAATATGTATATTCTTTTAATGTTCTTGCAATGACATTTCTTAAAATCAGATATATACAATATCTGATTTTACAAAATCAGATACATACAATATCTGATACATACAATGTTTTATTTCTTAAGTGTATATAGTCATTATCAGGGTCCTTTCCATATATATTACGGTATTTAAAATAACTTATGAAATAAGAACAGTGATTTATACAAGCATAAACTGGGGCTCCCAAAAAACAAATGACTTGCCAAAGGTCATCTGGATAATGAATTATGGGGCAGGAACTAAGACATACACATTTTGATCTCTCGACAAATATTCTTTTGTACCTTTTTTCCCACTGGCTTCAAGACGACTTTGCTTGCCTTCATTTTTCATCAGACTTAGACTCTAGGTAAAAAAAAAAAAAAAGAAAATACCAGAATCCTGATTTAACGCTTCATTCTTAATGAAGTTAAGAATTCTTAATTAAGAAAGAAACCTTAATTAAGAAAGAAACCTTTCCCCTGGGTCTGGGAAGCCACAGTATGTTTTGCAAGTGTGAGGTCCAAGTTTTTGTTCATTGCACCCCAAAAAGCTTATTTCTTGAGAGATTAACACAGTAGAGGGAAGAATCTTTTCATGCATTTTGTTTTCTCAAGGTGTAGTTTTCTTTACTAACTGCTCTTTAGACAAGAAAAAAAGAAAAAAAATCAATTTCAACTTACAGTGCAAAACAGTCAACTTTACATCTCAATATTTATTTGTCAAGACAGAAACAAACACTGCTATATTTGAACTTGAGTGATAAGACTCATGAAAAATGCCTAATTCATCTAGCAAAAACGTCTTTCATGGTATCCCTGTCTCAACAATATAGCTTATTTGGGTCAGTGATAAAAAATGACAGTTCCAGGGCTGGGGAGATGGGCTAGTGGTTAAGAGTGCTGGCTTCTCTTACAGAGGAGCCAGGTTCGATTTCTAGCACCCACACTGCAGATAACAACAGTCCTTAACTTCAGTTTCAGGGGAAGCTGATGTCCTCTTCTGACCTCTGCAGGCATTGCTTGACAGTGTGCACTTACATGCATGCAGGCAATACACACATACCCATAAATTAAAAATAATAAGTAAAATATTTACACTATAGAAATCCATCGAATTGAACATATAGTCCCAATTATGATCATATAGATAAGAAAACAGTAAGACTCTTCTTTGTGTAATTTATGAAGAAAGCCATTGCCAAGAAAAGCAACAGTTTATTTAGAAGCATCTGGAAATATTTTTTGAGATAATGTCTCACTACACCGCCTAGGCGGCTGGTCTTGAACTTTTGGACTCAGGAGATTCTCCTGCCTTAGCATCTGAAATAGCTGGGCTATGAGTATGTGTAACACTCTATTAAGCTTGTCAGTTACTTACTATAAGTACTTAATTTTGCAAACGTGTAAATAAATAATTTCACTTGACTAAGTGGTACCTATTGTTTCTTATATATACACCAGAGTATTAAAATCTTGAAAACATACTATGCTGGACCTTTTGTAATAAATAAATATGAAGGTACTTGACAAAAATATGAAATGGTCAAGGGGAGAATTTAGATGGCATATTTTAAACAATCTTCTAACATTTACTTAACTGAAAAGTTTTCCTGCTAATAATCAATAATGGCAATCTTCATCAGTAAACATACAGAGGGATGGTGTATAAAAAGTAATAAAGAGAAATGGATCTTACATTTGTTTCTTCCATGGCATCCATATTGAATAAAGTTTCCATTTTGTTTGTTGTCAAAGAAGGAAGATCACAACTGATTGACTGAAAAGAGAATTATAAACAAGGCTCTCTAAATGCAATAACATATTATAAATAGATTCTAAACACCAAGTTCTAATGGAGGAAAAGGTTTCTGTACAGCACTGAAAGATACTGTGACAAGAAGAGAAACTTTGAATATATAAGTCACTATTATCAAAATATTACAATTTCATACCATGGAGTACTTTAATGTTGAATATTTCAAATTATTAGAGAAAAAAATCACCACACAAGGACAGAAACACTGTGATACTACAATGAAAAATAGAGGCATAAGAACTTCAGAAAACCAGGGAAAGCATGGAATACACCAAATCACTGGAAAAGCCAAGGAAGGTGAGAACTCAAGTATTCTTAAACCCCAGACTTGATGCTATCAGTGCTAATTGTCATACGCCATTCTCCTTTTGGAGTAACTAAAATATATGCAGGAAAGTCCCAAAAAATGAACTGACAACTTACCTCACTGGCATGATCCAAGTCATAATCTACTTCCTTCTTAGACAGTAGTGACCAGTCTACCATATTTTCATCAGTATAATGAATATGCATTTTATCCCTTCATTAGCAAAAGAGAAATAGGTAGTGAAGAAGGATGTAAAACATAGTCATCTGAATTCCAAGGGACATTTTTTGGGAAAAAATCACATAGACATAATAAATTGAGCAGTTATGGCAGGTTCTTAGTTGAAAAACCATAAAGCAACATGGCACATTCCAGTTATAGACATCTTACTTGCAGAATATAAAGTCTACTGCTATTAAATAGATTTTAGTGCATAATTCACCAGTTCTAACTGAACTAGAGCAGCCTACTTCCAAATACAATTCCCAAGTTTTCAACCCGAAGAAGCCCAGAAAAGGGTGGAGGGAAAAACACTTCAGTCTGATTTTGAATAGAAAGTACTCTTCAACTCTTCTTCAAAGCTGTCAATAGCTACAGGGTATTTTTGTCCTATTGGCAGAAAATAAAGATGATAAACACTGTCTCAGAAGAGTAAGATGCAAGGCACCCCAAAATGTAGCTCGCTAACCCCAAAAGGCCTCTAGGATTATTGTATTTATGAGACTGTATATCCAAATTTAGGCTTTGGAAAGTGCCTGAATTCCTATCAGTGGCCAACACTGAGTCTGAATCTCACAAACAGATGAGAGTCACTGATTGGAGTGAATGGGGCACATGCCTGCTTTTAGTAAGCAAAAAAGTTACATATTTTGACTATTCCTCCCTAATGCATTCTGAAGCACTTGACTTCATTTTATGGTGCCATTCGTTAGGAAAGTCAGGTGATCTGAGAAATATTTTTATTTTTTTACCAGTTATTACTATTAATATTGCTAGTCGGCCTGACTTCAGAGGCCCAAATTCCATTAAATTCTTCTAGGTCAATATAATAGGAAGCCTTTGGCCTTCCTTATAGCTTTCTTAATCTGGTGGAACTTGAACTGAGCTTTGATGGTCAAATCAGGCAAAATTAAAGCAACTAAACATAATCACCCCAATCAACAGAGTTGTCATGATTAGTTAAGATTCTGAGAAGATTTACTGCCCTAAAGGATATTATTTTATTTTTTAGGGTAGTTCCTTTATGTTCAGGTCCAAGGGTCTACACTGAAGTTTGGGATTAGGCTGAGGAAGCTCATGTGATCTCATTTGGGGTGTGTTTGTCAAGAGGCTATTTATGTGATAAGGTCTACCAAGGGCCACATGTGACCTTTGTTTCTCTGAGGTTGGGCAATAAATGAGAGCTAGTAATGAGGAACAATACAAATACAAGACGATAAGCATATAAGGAGACAAATGAAAGGACTGCTGATGACAGTGAAACTAGGAAGACATCCCTCCTCACACACTGCTCAGGGTAGATATGTGCTGAGAATAGTGCCCTTGTGTCTCCAATTTAGTAGTATTTCTGCTGAGGCACACACACCGCCTAATTTCAGGAAATGAAGGCATTTCTCTTTATTTCTCATAGTTCTGTTCCAAGCAGGAGGTTTCATTCTAATTTCAGAGCTAATATTGGACCTAAGATGAACTACTTTACACTACCAATGTTGAGTTCTCATTTTCAGACCGTTGAGGAAGAAGCACTAAATATATTACCAACCAAAGAGTGCATCTGTGGTGTATGAGAAGAAGTGATGACACTTGGAGGAGGTGCCTAAGGGAAATGTTATTTTAAGCACATCTTGCTTTCCTCATCATAATATTATACTTTGGAATGACAGATAATTTTCTAACATCAGAATAATGTATTATCTGAAAATCAATATCCAAATTTCATCAAAACATAAGCCATATATCAGAGCTAAGTATAAATATGGATAATAATTGAGTTTTTACTTTAAAATGCTTGATTGGTTAAGGTCTCAAAGTGAGAGTAGACTCAACTCAATATTCAACTGTACAACTATGACTATAGTGTAGAATGCAATCATGTAGATTTAGGGAGTCACTAACAATATACTTGTAGTTTTTAAAATATTTATTATTTATTATTTTTATTTTATGTGTATGCATGTATTGCCTGAGTGTAGGTAAGTGCACCTGTGTCATGCAATGCCCGCGGAGGACAGAAGAGGCTGTTGGATCCCCCAGAACTGGAGTTATGGACAGTTAGCTGCTATGTGGGTGCTGGGATTCAAACCCAGGTCTTCTGCAAGAACAATGTTCTTAACTGCTGAGCCATCTCTCCAGCCTCTATACTGGTATTTTTAAGTTTCACCCACTGTACTAATATTACTAGATTTCACAGAAAAGGGAAAGAGTAGAAAGAGATGCTCTTCAAGGGGTCTGTAAGTATTATTCCATGCCACCTTTTTCAATTCTACTCAAGGGATAGAATTAAACTTTTTCTTTTTCTACATTCCTAGACTAAGGAAAATAAAACATTTTCCCCTAAAACATGTAAAGTAATACTTAGGTCAGGTAAGAGATGGAAGACATTATATACCTGCTCATTGAAGTGTTATAATTGGTGTCTGATTTATTCTCAGTCAAAACTGAATCACTGTTCTGAGAAGACTCTAAGAATAAAGACATATCCTTAGATTTCTGTTCAAAGAGTTCCTCAATGAATTTGTCCTCTAAAAATGGTGTGTTTAAATCCAAGGGAAAGGTCAGTGAATCTTCATTCATAGGTATATCCTGACTTGGCACTTTAGAGACTTTTCTGAAAAATAATGCAGAATAATGCTAACTAAACATGTTGCTAGAATTAAGATTATATGGGCTATTGCATTTTCATTTGTATTGTAGAAGCAGATTTGTAATATCCAGGTAAAATAATTTAAAAAAAAATTCATTTCCTATGAATTTCACAAAGAAATTATACCTTAAGTTATAATATGCATCCCTTTTCTTTGCAGGCTAATGACCATCTCCTAATGCAAAAATATGTACATTACAACTTAAAAAGTACACGTAATTTTAACCATTTCATAAATACTAAACAGTTAAGAATTTCCTTAGAAGTGAATGCAGTGTCTTATGTGAGCTCCTATAAAATCGTTTTTAAAAAGTCTAAGTAGTATTCTTCTAGCATAAAATTGAATAAACATTCTCATTTACAAAGAGAGAATGAGAACATACTATGGAATGGTTAGGGTCAAAGAAGACTAAACTTTTTTCAACATATGGAAACTAATACAGAGTTCCATCACTGGTCACAAACAGAGAATGTGTCTGAGAGATGTCCAGCCTTAAATGACACATCTACAATGGAACATCACCTAAGGATCACAGAACACAGTGGAACAGGATGTAGTGAGACTGCTAATGCATCTCTCATCTCTCACCAGGGTATCTTCCTAATACAACAGAATGTGATGTATGCAGTCACAACTGACCAAAGTGTGGAGAATAAGAGACTTCAGAGTGCATGTAGCTGGATAGGACTCACCTCACTCACCCAGGATTTAGGGACCATTGTGGAAGAGGGGGTGGAACAATTGTTAGGAATTGGGGTTGGTGCACGATCATAGAGAAACAGAGTCTTCCAGGCCTCTGAGACCTTGCTCATATGAATTTACAACAATGATGACAGCATGCACAAACCCATGTAACCCCAATCAAACAGATAAAATAATTTATACTGTGCCAATAAGTGCTTTGTTCATTTCATTTATATAAGATACAGTGCCCAAATATTCTGACAGACCAATTGACTCATCACTTTCTATTCTATTGACACGAAATGTCCAGAACAGTGAAATTTAAATTTACAGAGGCAGAAAATGGGTCATGTAAATGGGCATGAAAGATCTTATTGGGGTAATGAAAATGCTCTAATAGAGGATTTTGATGGTGAATTAACAGCTCAGCAAATTCACCATCAATTGTCAAAATACAAAATTAAAACATATAACTTTGATTGTACATATCTTATCTCCATATAAAGTCATATATGCACAATTCTTAGTTATGTATATACATTTGTCTATAAGTATCTGTTCAGAATATATGAATATTAGCATCATTTACAGAGGTATATGTGATTCACACTTCAATGTTATGGTGCCAACAAGATCTATATTCACAGCACATAGGTCAAGTTTTCATTCATAGCAGTGTTACATATAACAAAAAATGAAAATACTATGTTTCAATGAATTAACGACTAAGTAAATAAAATGTAGAATATACATACAATAGAATATTATACAGGAAATCTAAAGGAAAAACAAATAGTTCTTCAATTGTTTCTCATATTCTATAAAAAATTACATAGGTTTGATCAAGTAAAAGGCTCAGAAGCTAAATAGCAGCCTAAAATGTCCAGTGAGTTAGTGTATAGCTATAACAGAGATTAATTTCATCATAGGATTAAATGCTTGTTTCAAATAGAATAATTAAATTGCATAGGCAGCCATATTTTACATATTCTTTCTGAATTGACCATTAGAAAGCTGTCAGATATCTATAACTAGCTGGGCATGGTGGAATGCACCTTTAATCCTAGCACTTCGAGAGGCGGAGGCAGGTGGATCTCTGTGAGTTTGAGGCAAGCCTGGTCTACATAGAGAGTTCTAGGTCAGCCAGGGCTACAGCGTGTGGCCATGTTTCAAAATATCTGTAATGGTATACTTTTCCTGAAATTTGAATTGATAATTTACCTGCTTATGTTCAGTGTGTAGGTATTAACATGATTTATTCCAACATTCCAGATGCCATAAAGTTTGAGACCCATTGACTTCTTTTTTTCTTTATTAATGATTTTTCTCGGTATGTTCTCATTTTGAGATGTGCCTACTATTAGCAATCTTTACTTCTGTTCACTTGTTGGACATGACACTGACTATCCAGATAGAGTCTATGCAGTTGGCTATAGGAGATATATATTTTTTGTAATATCTGTACAAACATTTAAGAATTCTTCTCGTCAGGTGTGGTGGTACACATCTTCAATCCCAGCACTTGGGAGGCAGAGGTGGGTGAATCTCTGTGAGTTCTAAACCAGCCTGGTCTACCTAGTGAGTTCCAGGACAACTGGGGCTACAGGGATATCCTGCCTAAAAAACAAAAATAAAAACAAAAACAAAAAAAGAATTCTTCTACATTCCTTCTCCAAAAATATGTGCTTCCCAATGTCTTCTTAAACACATTTCCTAGGCACCAGTGACTAAATGTCTTATTTATTCATTTTATTCCTATGTCTAGGATACCCTGGCTCGAGGCTGTAATGGCTTTTGCCTCAAATATTTCACCTGGACTGGAGAGATGGCACAGCAATTACAGGCTAAGGCTAACAATGTAAATGTCAAATGTCAAATATTTCACACCTACCAAAATCTTCTACCCCTTGCATTGCCTTTGAATAGTTCCTAAAGTTATTTTATAATATTCTGCCTTATAAATAATCTTTGAGAGAGAAGGCTTTTCTTCACTTAGTCCCCTTGCTAAACAGTCTTTTATAATACTCTTTTTTTTTTCCTGTGCTACACTTGTGATTCCCCATCTGGCCTCCCCTCTGCCCAAATAGGCATCATTGAGCCTTAAATATTTAAATAAAATGTTTAAACACTTAAAAAGTCTTCAATATATAGACAGACGAACTTCTTCAACATACAGATGTCTCTGTTCCATAAAAAACATTCTTTAAAATGCTGTACGCTCAACATAAAAAAAAATCTTATTAAAGATTGGCTAAAGATGTGATATTGTTCAAAAAAAAAGACATAGAAGTGAATGTGTATAAAAACACTCGATTTCATTATCATCTGTAAAATACCAAGTCAAAACCCACAATACAATACTGTTTATTACTAATAATAAACACAGTCAAAGATGAAGCATAATGGGAACTCTTATACACTGTTGGTGGGAATGTGTGTGGTGTATGCATGTGTGCATGGCTGTGTTATGTGAGTTTGCTTGCCTGTGCATATGGATGTGGAGGCCTGAGGTCAACAGCGGTTTCTGAGAGTCTTGTTATTGATTCTGAAGCTCGCCATTTGGGATGGAGTGACTGACCTGTGAGCATGCAAGATTCAGCTGTCTTTACCTCCACTGCTGGGCTAAAGGATACACACCACCAATTTCAGGCATTTGTATGGTGCTGGGGATCCAAACACAAGTCCTCACTCTTGAAGGGAAAGTGCTTTACTCACTGAGCCATCGCCCTAGGCCCTGAAAAAAATGCCTGGAAATGTTGAGCTTTTTTTTTTTTTTAATGAAATGTGCTCCCTACAAATATTAAATGTGTGATATATGCTAATTTATTTTGATGTTGCTGGGCCATTGAACCTGAATATTTACATGTGCTAGTCAATTATTTTACAAATGAGCTTTATCCTCAGCCTTTTGGTTTTTTTTTTTTTTGTTGCTTTCGTAAATGTGAGTTTTTTACTACTGGAATTAAAACTTGCTATTGCTAACGTAGCAAAAGTGCAGAACAAATATGTATGTATATATATGCAATACTTATTTCTCTGTCATATATATGTTATATATAATAATTTATGCTAATTATCAGTTGTGATAATCGCGTTCTGTGGTAATAAAATCCAAGTCAAACTGTTTTATAAGTGTTTTTGTTGGTTATAAAGGGGAGTTAGCATGAAAATGGATGCAAGTCATATTACTGCTACAAAATAAACACAAATGAGTAATATATTGCTATGGAACCAGCAGTATTATTTGTTCACTTACAAGATCTATCACGTGCCTAATACAACTTAAGATCATTTTGTGTTTCATTAGCCCTCAAATCCACTTACTCATCATCTCCACTTGGTTGGTCTACAGATGAAATTACATTGTTGGAGTCATCTTCCAAAACAGGTGAGATATTGTCAAGGAGACTTTTATATTTGTTTTCAATAACCGCATAACCATCTTTTAATATGTGCATCTAAATATATAGAAAGGTTAGAGTAAATCGGACTTGGTTATGTATACACACACACACACACACACACACACACACACACACACACATGGTATTTCTTTGATGCAATTCCTATTGAATTCATTTAATAATTTTATAAGAAATACTAGGATCAGGAACTGGACATTTTATCTACAAACACTCATTTTAACGCAAACACCAACACCATTTTATTTAAGAATCTTACTGCTTCTTCTTTCTTTTCCTCTGGAATATGGAAATACGGGCGCTCATATTCAGAATCTGAAGCTCCAGGTAATAATTGTAATGACCTGCAATAAGATCCACATTTCAGTGTCATAACCTATATTACTGTTGGAATGGTCAGCAAAATTTGTTGTATGAAGCCTATCCTTTACTCATCCTTTGTCAGAATAGTTCCCATTGGAACTGAATGTGTCTCAGCATAAAAGTGAGGAAAGGACCCAGGATATTTTAAATAAGAGGTCACTTAAAATGATTAGTGATCACTTGGAATATTATCCTTATATGTTAGCTACTTCCTAAAAGGTTAGATTTTTGTCAGTATACTTTGTGTAATGTAAAATTAAAGCAAAGAATATAAAGTGCCTTGAAGTTATGCTTGATTCTAGGACTGAGGCAGGAAAAGGACAAAATCAGCCTAGAATGTCTTATGTCAAAAGCCAATACTAACAGTAAAGATTATGTGGCTGTATTTCCTAATGGATCTACTATAGTAAAGTTTAAGATCCTTTAAGAAAATTGTTAATGTATGATTATATTCAGAAATAAACAACTGGATAGTTGGGAAAAAGGAAATTTTCTTGTGTAGAATGCAAACTAAAAAGAAAAGACAACTAAGTAGAAAATCAACATTGAACCCCCATCATAAGATAATAATATTCAATTAGGAATCTTCAGTTAGAGGCTGGAGATATGGCTCCGCAATTAAGAGTACTGGTTTCTCTTGCAGAGGACCTGTGTTTGATTCCCAGCACCCACACAGTGGCTAGCAACAGTTCCTAACAGTTCCAGGGGAAATCCAACACCTTCTGACTTCCGTAGGCACTGCGCGGCACAGGTGCACTTTCATACATGCAGATGACACACTCATACACATAAAAAGAATGTTCAACTGGAAATGCTAACCTCACTGCCAGTCTCCCTGTGAGGTGAAGGTGTGTGCTTAGACTGTCACCCTTGCTGCTCATCATCACTCAGAGCAGAGTTCCCAGAGAATTCTGAAGGAAAGGGTTTTCAGGACAGTTCAGACCAGCTCTTGTATAAAATGGATGCTATGAGTCACACTGTTTCAATGCAGGCCTAACTGTAACGTGACATCTCACAGAAATGCTGCATTTTGGTACCCCATATGAGGAAGAGGCTATCTACTTAGAATTCACAGTTCAGCACCCAGACAAGTCCTGAGGAAAAAGGGAATTGCAAGACATCCCAGTCATATGTCCCAAGCTTATGACAATGAGCACAAGGTTTCCTTGGTATCTCAGGCCAGAGAATTAACTCACAAATTAGCACCAGAGAAGTCCCAAGATAGGACGCCCCCAGACATAGACAAGGTTAAGTCATATGACAAGCCCGAGTCTTTCTTGATAGCTCACACTGGCACACATTAACAATTCTTTCTTTATTTTCTGTTTTTATCTATTTGTTTACCAGGGCAGGACCTCTAGGAACGAATTCTGAACTTCATATTTTCACCTTACTGCTTTCACTGCAGGGATATTGTTGTCTCCTGAACCTTGTGCACATGCATGGCAATTAATGACTTTATTTAAAGGAATTAGAGTTAATGCGTCATTAAAGCAAATTTGTGAACTTTTAAATGTTATTTAGAGATATTGTCTCTGGTATACAAACCATGGGACACTTGATTCAGAATCTTGGGAAAAAATTTGATGACCGGTTAAGCTACTGCTTAGAAATGGTTCAACTGAAGCATTTAACTCTGTGTAATGAAATCAGACTAGCTCTACAGCCTTATCAAGAGACAAAACGGAGAACTTCCAAAGAAAACATCTCTTACTGAATCTCATGCTCCTTCCTCACCTAATTTTCCTGCCTTCCAGCCATCTCCCTTCCCCAGGAAAATTAAAAAAAATGAAGGTGACTAGTGGGAATAAGTAGTGTACCTGCCTCCTGGCAGCTGCAGAGGCTGCACATGTAGGCTCTTAACACCTGCTTTTTTTCTGACCTGCATCTGCAAGCCTACTTTTTTTCCCTGAAGTAAAATATCCTTTCCTAAAAACTCCATTGCTCTCTGCTTGTTTTCTACTTTGTTTCTGCAGTATCATGCTACCTTTGAATTCATGTTCAGGTTACAATGGCAAGTGACAAAGATAGGTTAAAAAGTAAAGGCATCCTGATATCAAATTTTTCCAAGTTATTTTAGGTATTAGTTTTCTGTGTTTTGCATTCTCTAAATTATGGACACTTAATCCAAGATTACATGTTTAAATTATAATGTGGCCTTTGTAACCCAGAGACCCAGACTGATACCGTTCTTTAAAGGGGAATTCACCCCGACTACTATCATGCTTGCCAACAAATTAAGAGATTTAAAGAAAAAGCAAAAGAACATTTAGAGTTCAACCTACAAGGAAGCTGAGACTCTAGTTATCTCACACAATCATTAGAGGTTGGCTGACACCCCTGATACATGTAAAGCTAGTATTTATTCTAGAGAGTGACATAGCCTACACAGACAAGATAAGATTAACCAGGAAATTTTAAAAAAATCATTAAATTCATAGGGAATTATTTAGGAGTCACATTGGTAAGACCAAATAATCCAAATAAGCTCCACCTTCTTTGTGGTTGCTAATAAAGAAGGATGAGATATAGGAAAATATAGGTCTTGTCAGTGAGAATAGTGGCTAAATCTGACAAGGCCACTTTCCTCATGGTTACTCATAAGGAGAGGAAAATAAGGATATTCTGGAGACCAAAACAAGGGAAATTTCAACATGTTCTGTCTCACAGAGGGTTAACAAGACACCCACCTGTACCTGTTTGATTCAAATCAAAAAGAAAAAAAAGGTCTAACGGTTTTCTTCATTCACACCAAGTCTAAAGTTAAACTGAAGGATAAAAAGAGGCCTGTAATGGGAAATATCAATCAGAAAATTGTATTAGCCTACAACTTGATCTCTTTACAGGAGAAAGGATATTTATTATGTTTTCGGATTGTGTGCCTAAATTTATAGATAGAAGGTAACTAATAGTGGGTATAAATATTTGCTCATTCCAAATATAGCTAGGGAAGTATCAGGCTAGACACTGGCAAATTATGGAAAATACTTTTGTTTATTTGATTCTCCTTGATTATGACTTTGAACTGCCATATCACGGTTTTATACACTTTAAAGATACCAGAGAGTGAATCTTCAAAATCAAGTGTTCTTACTTTTGCCAATTCCCATATCCACTGCAAGACCCAGAAGACTGTAAGAGTCATAATGAAAAAAATTATATACATTGTAAGGAAGACAGGTGCTTTGAGTCCAGCCAGTTTTCAATGGCCCAACAACAAGTTTACTGTGTAGTACAAACCATTAGGTTCAGTTTTACAGAGAAACAAGTGCTTTAGTGCATACATTATGTTAGGAAGTTGTCATGTGCTTTTTGAATTCACTAAGAAACTGACTCTGGAGATGGGATTTGGCCCTCCCACCCACTCTCTCTCTCAAATGTTTTTAGTCAGGCTGATCCCCTGACTCTGTATCAAGGAACAGAACAATAAAATAGCTGTTTATTAAGGTGTTACACCCTTGAGAACAGCTGAGGGATGAAATATTTCTAACAGAAGCTACTATTATTTTATGATATAAAGATGTCTATGGTAAAAACACCTAATGAGATGCTCTCTTTTTGCCACTAATAATGTCCTTGGATGGGACTCTTCCACTATATTTTCAGGCCCCCAAGATATAGAAGAAGTGGAATAATCCAAAGTCTTGCCTCATCCTAAAATGACAAAAGATGCAGACCAACTCCCTCCTACACCCTTGGATAATAGAGCATTTGCTTATGACTACTGACAGTAGCCCAAGATTAGATTTATCTATAACCGAAACTACAAAATTAGATGTATTAGGAAAATTACAGTAGGTCCTCACAACTTATGGGAACCCCTTACAGCAAAATATTTTGGATTAGTCTATGAAAGAAATTTTTGCTTGTGCAGATGTTGCTGATTCAGCATATACTTGTCAAATTATTACTACGGCTTATTCTCAGCTATTCCAAGAAATTGCATCTTTAAGTTAATTGGGATAATTTATACATTGTTCATTTTAGTGGAATCCAACATTGGTTTGTCATTAGAAACTTATGAGGCATTATTTTTGTTGCTGCTCAAATGCATGAATCTTCTTGAATTGTTTGTAGACACTTATTAACTGCTTTCTCTGTAAAGTGGTTCCCAAAACAATTCAAAACAAGCACTTTTTTCACTTGTGTATTTAAAACTTTTATCTCTTTTTGCCAACTTTGGGAAGTTCATGTCTGTCATTCCATTCGCCAAATAACACACAAGGACATGCCATAGTTAAAACTAACTCATTCATTTTTTCAGAAATAATGTACAGAACCAAAAAAAGGGGTAAAGAATTACCTGCTCAGGAAGCACTTGGAAAAGCAAATTATACCTTAAATCTTTTCAAAGCAAGCTATACTTTGAATTTTTAAAAATTGTTCATCTCATTTTTCTTCCCTAAATCGTGCTGAAAAAGCATCTTAAGAAACAACATGTTTTACTGTAACCCATGTTTTAAAACATTATTTTTATTTTATTGTGTATGAGTGTTTTGCCTCCATGTATCTATATGCCACCTGTATCATGCAATGCCTGTGGAGGCCAGAAGAGGGCACTGGATCCCTTGGAACTGGAGTTATGGACAGTTAGCCCCAATGTGGAAGCTGAGAACCAAATTGGGTCCTCCGTAAGAGCAGCCATTGCTCTTAACCACTGAGACATCTTTACAGCCCCCATAACTCATTGTTTTATATAAACTCCCTTAAGGGAAACCCAATGACTAGATCCTGCTCCTTTCATTAATTGGACCTAAGGCTGTGCTTTATGTTACAGGCCACCTCTGAATCCCAGCATGACTGGTAAAGTGATACCATGAGCTGACATAAGAAGACAATAGTCTGGCATCAGAAGAGAGACCCTTTCCTGAATTGCAACTGCATGAATACCCGTCATGCTTGTTTGCCTTCTCATCATAGTGCTCTTCTGCCTATGACACGTTTTCTGGGGACTTACCCAAGACAATGCCATGCTGGTTCCTGCTGCTCCTCCAGCTGCACTGCACCCTAATTGCCCACCACCAGTAACCACCCCAATGGAAAGGCTTCTTTTTTGATAAAACAAACAAGAGAGAATAAGAATGACTTTTACATGTTTCTTCTTTTATAAAACAGAAGAGGAACTATGGAAACTACTTTTCTGTATGGACATGATCTGGATAGGTGACTTTTACTGAATATTGCACCTAAAACGTTACTTTATATTAGTTTGTTTATAATGCAGACAAGTTCACTGAGCCTTGAGCTCCTCTTACAACCAAAAAGTAGAGCTCATGAACCTTCTTTGCCCTTGAAGCAGGACAATGCATGAATGTGGATGTGGATGTTTTGCACATCAAGCATGTGCTGCAAACAGCACTTAGCTTATTGAAAGCAATAAGGTAATTATTCCATTTGTGTTGCAAACAATAGATGGTATTAAATTGATCACGAATGTTTCTGGCTCTTTATGTGTGCTATTTGAGGTCAGTAGAGGTCAGAAAGGACACAGCTTTCTGAAATATAAGTGCACACTTTTACCTCCCCATTACTGAAGTGGGATATAATGTTTCAGTAAAAGAAAGAGCGAGGCTTTTGTTTGGGAGCACAGGTCCCAGAAAATTCTGAAGGAATAGGTCCTCAAAACAGTTTGGGTGCCCTCTTGGCTAAATTTGCGCAGAGTGTCAGGCTGTCTGTATTCAGGCACGCTGGAAGGTGGGATTACATAGTAACACACCTTTTTATTCGACCTTTTACGAAAAATCCCACGATGTCCCTTCATTTTCTTTTCCCTTTTTATTCCTCTCCCATTCCCCCCTCTAGGCATGTCCAACTCCTTTATTTCCTACCTAGCAACCTAATACTGATCAATAGTGGTATGTGATTTATTTCTTCTTATTTCCCTTTTCAATACGCTAATACTAACAATAAATTATATTAGTACACACAATACTATCAATGTCCGTTTACTACCTGAAACAACTGGTACTTCAGGAATAAGGAGTGACTGTTTTGTAGTCAACTGCTGTATTTTCATGATGGGTTTACGGTTGGATAGTGACCTTTTTCAGACAGTATTCAACTTTTAGGGAAGGGATACGGATAGAACCTGGTGCCCCGAATACCATTCAAACAGAGAAAAACATCACTTCAACCATACCACAACCGAATGTCTCATGAATACTGCAAACACCTTCACTAAATGGAGAAGGCAGCATGGATTTAAAAACAAAACACCCAAAACCTGCAATCTAAGTCCAGATATGTAAGAATCAATGCAAATATATAAGTAACCTGACAAACTAAGACATGTGTCCTCCAAAAATTACTAGTCCCATTCCAAAATCTAATGACAGAAACTTAGATAAAGCTCTACATAAGTCAAAAGAATGATTATTAAATATGTCCAAAGAATTCAAAGACATGTATAAACAATATATACTGAACTAATGACAAGATTTTTTTTCCTTAGAAGGTATCTCTTTCCCCTGAAGTCACATACTTAATTCATACATGTCGACAATTTGTTCTGAACTGAAAACAAGAATGATGTTACAAAAAGAAGAACTTTTAGATATGAGAAAAAAAGGCCTTTTGATGAATAGTTGGAGTCAACAAACTCACCTGTTACTTTTATTACTTTTTATTTCTGTATCGCCTCCATTCACTGCTTCAAAGACAAACTGGAGAATCTGAAAATATGGAAAACATTTTAATTGTGACCTCACCTTCAATATTGAGGAAAATCAATAATAAAACAAGAAGGCTGTGAGAGGTCCCAGTAAGGACAACTACAACCTAATATAATTTATATAATGTAAATGTAACATAATTCGTTTTGGCTTTCATATAATTTTACATGCTAACTATCTTGTGGCTCAAAGCGCCATATAAAAACAGTAATTTGCAGAAATAAAAAAGAAGAGTCCTTTAAAAGACAACTGATACCTGTGTTAACAGTTGCTGTTGATCCCAGTACTTCTTTTTCAGGTTTGTAATTTCAAGCAAAATGTTTGTGTAGTCCCTGCAACAGAAACAGATTCTCCAAATGAAGCAAGATGTATTTCTTTAAAATTTGAAGACAAAATACCTAAATGCATGTTGAACTGTCTGAATTAATAGCATTCATAGTGTTCTTCAAAAAAAATTATACTGCCTTTATCCTTGTGGAACATTTCTGGCTTATAATTTAAAATTGCAGTCTTTATGAAGTTCATTAGCCCATACAGATTTCACAGCAGTAAGTTTTAGTGGTGCTGAGGATTAAAACTATTCTAATGCATATGCTAGGACAGAATCCCACCTAATCCATACACTAATACTTTTGAAATCACAAACCACACTGATATTTTTTAACTCCTGTGGCAAATAGAGTGACAGATGTCATATTCAAGATCTCTCTCATCCTACCTTAATACATTTTCATACTTGAGACTATGAAAGTCATTGCAAACCAATATAATGCTATTATAAATTCCTTATTAGCAGTCACCGGAGTGGAAAATATTTCACATAAGACTGTGAGAACATATAAATCTCTAGGCTCATAGGTTTACAGCAAACCAATACATCTATACTTCTAATAAATAATATGACAAAAGACACATGGCATCAGATTAAATTTCAAATGTATAATTTCTTTTTATACAAATTCTCATTAAGGTTTGTGTTAAGAAAACTGCTGTAAATAAAGTGGAATGTACTTTTTTACACATCTGCTTACTCAAAGACTAGTATCTAATAGCTCTTAATCATTAGTGAGGCACTGCTTGGAGTGTATAGAGATTGAGCACGTCTAATGATCTTTGCTCAAAGATCATAGTCATGATGCAGTTGGAAACATATGAACATAAGCCTGGAATGGTTAAAAACACCAACAATTCTAGGTTTGGAAAACATCATCTTGGTAACTTGCCCTCTTTAAATTTTTTTCTTTTATTTATTTTTATCTTTATGTGTATGAATTTTTTCCTGCTTATGTGTAAGTGCATCACATCCGTGCAATGCCTACAGATGCCAGAAAGGAGCGCTGGATTTCCTGGAACTGGAGTTATGGACACCATGTAGGTGCTGGGAACCAAGCCTAAGTCCTTTATATGAGCAGCCACTGCTCTTAACCATTGAACCCTCTCTCCAGTCTTAGTTATATGCCTTCTTGAGCTTTTCAGTTTAGATGGAGTATATACATGAAGTATGTAAATAAATTAAACATATAAAGGATCTCGCAACAATTAGGAATGAATTAAGCTTCTACTTTTGAAGCAAAATTTAGAATCTGGCTTAGTAGTATAATAAATCCACACCACCAGCAATCTCAAGACTTCACAAGTCTTACAAATTCAGGAAACAGTGATAGCTCCCACAAACAGACTAATTTTCTCATGTAAAAGTGTATCTCATATACAGAATAGAAAGATTATGTGCATGTGTATGGAGTGTATATGCACATGTGTACATGGGCACGTAAAGGCCAGAAATCAATATTAGGGGTCTCCCTCAGTCTTTTTTCACTGAACTTAGAGCTCACTGATTTGCCTAGATAGGCTGGCCAGCAAGCACCAAGGATCCGCCCTACCTCTTCCTCCCTAACTTTGGCACATGCTTTGATATATGCTGCTCATTTCTAATTTTTCAAGTGGGTTCTGCATTCTTAACAAGCAATTGTTCTTACACACTCTAAACCACCCTAACAAAATTCTTATTGGTCAAGTCAATTAGATGAAGATCATGCTTTCAGTAGGAGGACTGCCCAATTGACTAGATGACCATCTATATGGTACTGACGTTAGGTAGCAGAAACATTAAAAAGAATTTTTATGTTCACATGTTGAAAGTCCTGGTGTAAATGTATAGTGTATATGTGTAGTGTTTAAAAGAGAGCACTTTTGGTCACTTTGTGTGTATTAAACTGACATGCTTTTAACTCTGTAAACTTTTGCATAAAATTCAGATGAAGTTCAGACTCAGAGCTATATGCATTTCTAGATACAGAGAGTGCATCTTTAAAGGTACAAAATTCACTTTAAAATCCCAGTTTTTTAAATAAAGTACTCATTTAACAAATTAACAAGAGCTGATACTTAAGTAATCCTTGACTTTGTAAAATCCCAGTTTTTTAGGTAGTCAAAGTCTGAAAAAAATCAACAGAAAAGCCAAAGCCATATCTTGAGAAAACATAAAATCTTATTTTTGCGGTTGGAGACATGGCTCAGTAGTTAAGAGCACTGACTGCTCTTGCAGAGGACCTGGGTTCAGTTCCCAACACCCACATGGTGGTGAACAACCATCTGTAACTCCAGTTCCAGGAGATCTGATGCACTCTTCTGATCTCCCCAGGCATTGCAAGACATGGGTGCACTTATACACGTGCAGGCAATACACTCATAAACATAAAATAAAAATAAAAAATAAAATATATTAAAAAAATCTTATCCTCTAATCCAGTTCTCTATTCTGTTTTTTAAGTGTTCTTACGATGAGAACAATAAAGAAAGCCTTGTTGCTTTAGATATAGTGAATTAGGTTCTTGTTTTACATCAGTGCATTAATTTGGCTTCATAAAATCCTCGAGATAAATTAACATCTTGAATTTCTGCATGTAGGATCTCTTGTTAATTAGTGCAAACACTAATTTCTCTGCATCACTGAAAACAGTTGATGATGACCAAAGTGAAAAGACAAGAAAAAGTCTCTGGAATAAAAGTGTTTCCAACAGCAACATGAGGTCATTCAGGTTTTGTTTACTATTGCTAAGTAGTGTTTGGTCATGTTTACCTATAAAACCAGCCAGAACTCACTGGACCAATATCAACCATATGGTACATACATGCACCATGGTTAACATTCAACAACAGACTGGCCTCTAAAATTAACATGAAAGGTTGGCTCATGGTCAATTTCAATGAAAATCTTGGCTTACTTTCAATGTTGATGAAAAAGCAAGAAAAATACCCCTATTTTCTCCACCCTTCTCTTTCTATTGCCATACATGAAAAGCTTAATTACAAAAGTTAGAGTGAATCATGAAATTAAAGGTACGCTTGCCCTTCACTAAAGGATTTTCTGAGAAAATCAAGTTTAAATTGAATACTGATGAATATCTGTTGGGACACATCCACTTGTATCTTGTCTAAGGTCAATGATAGATTAGAACTTTTCTCCTAGTCATTACAGTAGAACTTCTCAACTATTATTTAAAATTTGTCTTTCAATAGTACTGCCTGGGTAAGGTCCTTAATGCTTAAGAGACAGTGTATGCTGTGCTATATACTCTATGACTCCTTATAAAACATTGAAAAATATTTTAAAGTATCTAAAGTTATAAAAAGAAAATGCCAAAGGAAGAATTGGCAAATAAGTTAGGAATGTTCTTAGAATACTTAAATACAGAACACATATGTTTAACATCTCTTTCTTTTTTTCCCTAGGGTGAAATGGAAACTGCAATCTATTTTAGTACTCATATCTATATTGCTATCTTATATGCTGGCAATTTTACTTCTGATTTATTCGATGATCTGCTATATACATTTATATGATCTGAGCTATTGGATCATTAATAGCAACCCAAGCACTAAAGCACTTAATTCAGTGCTATGTTTTTACTTAAAAGAAATTGAACTAAGGTAATATAGCAAACAAGAGTGTAGTCTCATAACTCAGATGTAATCAGTCTTAAATTGTTGGAAACTGGCATTAGGGAACTGGATTAACACTCACCGTTTCATTTTTTCAAATTTAGCATCTGTGTTAGTCTGCTTGTTTCTCAAATCTTGCATTTCAGTCATAATTTTCTGAAACTCTTGAGAATAGTTTCTGACCTTTTCATTTGTCCTTGTCGATACCTAAAATAGAAACAGTGTACAGTTGGCTGGTTAAAAGTTTCACATACTAACAACTCTTTACTATGGGCACTAAGGGAGAAAAAAGAAGGATGATTATTATAAAATAGTACATCAAATTCTATAAATGTACCTCTATTATAATGGTAAACAATATAAGCTTCATTCTACAGCTATTATATACAATGTAATTTTCCTTGTTAACATGAAAGCTCCTGGAAGATTAGCAATACAGTTTCTACCTATCTTTATTCTTAAGAACAATTTCAAGAACAATACCTTACACATAGAAGTTCTGCAATAAACTGAGCATATAGTTTTGAGTAAAATTAATACATTAACTACTACACAATGTACTGGCACAGGCACATAGCTATAATCCCAGCACTTTGGAGGCTGAGAAAATGGGGATCCCAAATTTGAGATTATCTTGGGCTACATAGCCTGTTTCTGTCTCAGGAAAAAGACAGGCAGACAGACACACACATACACACATACACACACACACAAAGCTAACTGGTATAGCAACTTTCTATGCTGAAATAAATCACAGTATCTTACAAGGAAAGTAAGAGATGCTCTATACTAAGAACTGTAACGAGACAAAAATGAATATGACATTCACACGTGATTGTGACATAAAGAAGAAATAGTTCTATATATATATACATCTCATTCTGTTTAGACTTGAACTCTGACTCTTAGCCAAATCTTTCCTGTTTGGAGTGATTATTAGTATAGTTAGGGAGGAAGTTTTAGCTCACGAATAATCTACAAGTGGGGTTAATTCTCAGAAATAAAGCTGACTATAGATTGATTTTAGGCCTGCTGACATTGGAGGACATTAAATTATGTATTTTAAAATATGAAGCATTATGGGAGTGTTCTACAATTTAATGTAGAATAATGTCTGTAACTGTGAAAATTATTTTTTCAGGTGGTTATTGAGACAGCTTTAATGATTTGAATATGTGTTGTTTGAGTAGACTACAAGATGCATTATCCTCATAGTTAAAGTTTTTATTCAAATATTTAATACATATGAGGGAAGTAATAAAAATTTAACAGGCTAAAACTATGAATTATGCTATGTTGACGTTTCATATCATACTAATGTGAACAGGAACCAGGGGCTCTAGGTTCTTCAAGGTGAAATTGAAAATTGTGTATAGAAACTTCTAATTTGTTTTTGGCTGCTGTAAACATGTCTGAACAATGAACTGATCTGTGAAATATCCCTGTGTGATTAATAGAGTGGGAGGAAAGTTTTGATATTTAAACTTTAAAAAGTTGACTAAGAAAAGCAGTATGTAATAAACTGCAAATGAACTGTACAGGTCATATATTTTATCAGGACTCAGAAGAGAGTGCGATTACATTAGCAATGAACCAGCTTTCTCTTTTGAGTGTGTGATGATGAACAAATTGCCTGTCAGCTGCTCTGCTAATAAACTGGGCATCTCCAAAATGAAGGCCTAGAGGCAAGAGCAAGATGGCAAGGGTGACTCAGACTTCTGGAAGACAGGCAACAAACAGGCTAGAAAGAATGCATTCACACTACCTATTTCCATATTCATTCATTCATTCATTCATTCATTCACTCATTCATTCATTCTTCTCTCACTCACTCCCTGTTCTTCCTTCCCTTTCTTTCTCTTTTGAGTGTGTGATGATGAACAAATTGCCTGTCAGCTGCTCTGCTAATAAACTGGGCATCTCCAAAATGAAGGCCTAGAGGCAAGAGCAAGATGGCAAGGGTGACTCAGACTTCTGGAAGACAGGCAACAAACAGGCTAGAAAGAATGCATTCACACTACCTATTTCCATATTCATTCATTCATTCATTCATTCACTCATTCATTCATTCATTCTTCTCTCACTCCCTGTTTCTCCTTCCCTTTTGATTTTCCTTTTCCAAATAAAACAGTCTGGCTCTGTCTGCATACATCATTTGATTGTGTATCTTTACCACTCCTTTTCCAGCTAACCTTCAGCTAGGACTGCCTCACATTTCCCGCCCCCCTTATTTCCTACTTTTTGTTTGTTCTTCTGTGTATGTTTTTTCCCCACTTTTTCTATGTAAACCCAATCTTAATCACTACTCAAACCCTGACTCTTACCCTAACTTTTTTTTACTGTTGCTGGAGATTTTAAAATTAATTTTCTTTTTCATTTCCACTCATAGTCAAAAGAACTAATATATTAGTACACACTTAACTGTCTATGCCCCTTGATTTTCTAAAATGATGATTGCATAGACATGGATAATGTTTTATTTGATGGATACAATGCTGCCCTTGAGAGCCTACATTTTAATGCTGATATTTTTCATGCAATATTCTAACTGCAGGGGAATACTAGAAATCAGGTCTGGTGCCCTGACAACCTGCTTATCAGAGAAAAACAGTGCCACAACCCTGTACTAACTTTGTCCCAACTGAACAGAGCAAAGAGTCCCTCTGAAGGAATAAGGGTGGCTTAAATAAATAAATTAACTAACTAACTGTGATGAAATTTTAAAATAAATTCAAACAACAACCAAATTCCAGATGTGCAAGACCCAGTGGAAACACACAAATGATATGAGAAAATAAGGCAAGAAAATCCTCCAAAAACAGTAATCTCAGAAAAAGTTTCCAGTAAGAGTGAATTCAACGAAATCAACTAAAAAAGGTTATTAAAATAAACTTGAAGAAATAAAAGAAGACACGATAAATCACTGAAAGAATTCTAAGAGAACAAAAATAGTTGAATGAAATAAGAAATAAAATATAAGCTATGAAAGAGGAATTCAAAGTATAGAAATACTGAAGCAAAGTAATGCTGAAATATTGGAAAGGAAAAATATTTCAAATTTAAAACCTCTATGGAAAATCTCAATACTAGAATAGATCGAGGAGAGGACAGAATATGTGATCTTGAAGTTAAGATGAAGGAATAGGACTACTATAACATAGACAGAGATAAATTAATCGAAAGTGTGACTGTTATTTTCAAATTATTCAGCCCACCATGAGAAGAGTAAATCTAACAATCAGTGACAAAGAAGAGGCAGAATTCCATCCTAAAAACATAGAAAATGTTTTCAGAAAAATTATAGAAAATTTCCCAGCATTAGGAAAGAGATGCCAACTTACATACTGGAGGCATTTAGGACGCCAAACAGACAAGACCACAAAACCTCCCCTTAAAATATTGTAATTAAGCCGGGCGTGATGGCTCATGCCTTTAATCCCAGCACTTGGGAGGCAGAGGCAGGCGGATCTCTGTGAGTTCAAGGCCAGCCTGGACTACATAGTGAGTTCCAGGACATCTGGGGCTACAGGGAGACCCTGTCTCAAAAAATATTGTAATTAGGCTACAAACTATACAGAATAAATAAAGTATATGAATAGTCACAAGAAAGAAACACTAAGTCACATGCAAAAGCAGGCCCACCAGAAAAATAACTGATTCTTCAATGGAAACAACATAAGTCAGGAGGGCTTGGAATAACATATTTCAAGTTCTGAAAGACAACAACTGCTAACATGGACTCAAGAAAAGCAGTCATAACCGAAGGAAAAAGAAAAAACTTCAGGATCAAAACAGGCTGAAGCAGTTCATGACCACTGAGACAGATCTATGGACTATATTTGAAGGAATCAGTTAAAACAAAGAGGAAGATATCCATGAAGTCACATGAGTAATAAACCACACATTAGTAGTAGTTAAGCAACAAACGGAGAAATAGGAAAAACCAACCACCACAAAACAACAGGAATTAGCACACATCTTTCAACAATAACTCTGATTATAAATAGTATCAATTCACCCGTCAAAGATAAAGAAGAGCAGATTGGATTAAAAACAGGATCTATGAATTTGTTGCCTTCAAGAAACACAACACACCATAAATGACAGAAGCTACCTTATGATGAAAGGATGGGAAAAAGTTTTCCAAATAAAATGCCCTAGGAAACAAGCAGGTGTCACTGCCCAATATCTGACAAAATAGACTTCAAATGAAAACTAGTCAGAAAAGTCACATGATACTAATTAATGGAACAATTCATCAAGAGAACAATAACATTCTTAATATCCATGCATTAAACACAGATGTACCAAATTTCATAAAACTTATCTACATGATGTACAGTCACAGATTAACTCCAGCACAATTATAACGGATTATTACAATACCTTATTCTCCCCAGTTGACAGGTCATCCTGGTTAAAAACCAACAGAAAAGTATCTGAATTAAATGACACTATAGGGGCTGGAGAGACGGCTCAGCAGGAAAGAGCACTGGTTGCTGTTGCAGTGAACCTGGATTCAATTCCCAGCACCCACATGGTAGCTAGCAACTGTTTGTAACTCCAGTTCTGGGTGTTCAACTCCCTCTTCTGACTTCTGTGGGCATTTAATGACATGGGTGCACTTACATACAAGCAGGCAATACACTCATACACATAAAATAAAAAAAAATGACATCATAAACCAAATAAACTTAATATCCCATTTAATCATTAAAGAATGTGAATTCTCCTCATCACCTGTATTAGATACTTATTTGTTGGTGTGATAAAACACTGTGACCAAGGGAACTTATAAAAGGAAGAGTTTATTTGAACTTATGGTTCCAGGGGAATTAAGAGCCTGTCCTGGCGGAGAGGCATGGTGGCAGGAGGTGGCCAGAAAAGGAGCAGGAAGCAGAGGCTCACATCTTCAAACAGGCACAGGAAGCAGAGAGTGTCTGGAGATCCAGTAAGGCTTAAGAACTCTCTAAGCCCACCCCCAGTGACGTGGTTCCTCCAGCATGGCCACACCTTCTAAGACCTTCCAAAACAGTGCCACAAACTGGGGACAAAATATCTAAATACTTGAAGCTTATGGGGGATATTCTCATTCAAACCACCACAGCACCCCATGGAAATTTATGTAAAATACATCATATAATGAGACATAAACAATTCTTAACAAATAGGAAAATTGAAATACTTCTTGTGTTTTATCTGATTACAACCAAATAAAACTACAAATCAATAGCAAGAGAAACCACAGAACACAAAAAACCTCATGAAGATTAAATAACAAAGTACTGAATGATGAACAGGTCACTGAAATCAAGAAGGGGGCTGGAGAAATGTTTCAGTGATTAAGAACATTTACTGATTTTGCAGAGGACTGGCGTGCAGTTCCCAGCATCCACTTTGCATGGTTTATAACCACCTATAACCCCAGCTCCAGGGGATCGTGATGCCCTCCCTCTCTTGTCTCCACATCCACATGTGTACACACACACACACACACACACACACACACACACACAAATATAAAGAAAAAATATTTAAAAATATTTCTACTCTGCCTAGCTAGTTAGACCCTCCCCATGCTGTCACCTTTACTTCCTTGAGACTAGGCTCCCTTCTGCTTTTCCTGCATGAGACCTCTGGACTACCCTGGTAAATCAGGCTTCGGCCACTGCAGCTTGATCCCCTGCACCTGGACCAGTTACATTCTGTGGTTCTAGGGCCCACACCTACTCCACTTTATAGAACATGCAAACAAATAGCTTATAATGGCTTATTATTTTACCGATAGATTAATGCATCCATCAACTCTCATCTCTTTTGCCAAAGAAGGTGAGTAACATAGAGACTCACAACTAGCCAAAATGCAGAGAATAGGACACTGCAGAGTGCTTACCCCTGAATAGGACACCTACACAAAACCTATCTCCAAAGGCTCAGGCAATGTTGCAGAAGAGATGGTGGAAAGATTGTAAGAGACAGAGGTGGTGGATGACCATAAGGAAATCTTAGAGTTTTCCAGACAGCTGGGCAGTTACTCATATGAAATTACAGCAATGTTGGGTGGCAACATGTACAAATCTCTTTTGAGCTCAAGCCAGACAAAATCCCAGCATAGACATGGTTAAGTATGTAAGAAACCCCAACCTTACCTGAGGAAGTACTGGCAACTAATGGCTTTTGGGAAGAGGATGGTCAGTCTATTTTAAGGATGAGACACTTGGTATATTGACCATACTCCAGTGGATGGACCCACAATGAAGGACACTTGGGGATGTAAGTTTGACTTGATAGGCCTTAAAAACTTATCCTATCTATCTATCTATCTATCTATCTATCTATCTATCTATCTATCTATCTATCTATCTGTCTGTATATCATACATCTATCTATCATCTATAATGGAGTGCATATCTATCTATCTATCTATCTATCTATCTATCTATCATCTATCTATCTAATCTATCTATCTATCATCTATCTATCATCATCTATCTATCTATCATCTATAATGGAGTGCATGAAATTGGACAGGAAGGTGGTAAGGAAGAGTGTAGATAGGGGAGGGTGTCTAAATATGATAAAAATACATTTTATGGAATTCCTCAAAACTCCATAAAATACTTGAAAAGCACATAGATACCTGCAAGAAAGTGTTAAAAAGTAAAAAAGTATTTTAAATTTATAAAATTTAGATACTAATTTCTTTAAGTTATAATACTACACACATTACATAATAAAATTAGAATGATGATATAATTGAACTCCATGTATTCTTAAGAATATTGAAGTGGAGGCTGGAGAGATGGCTCAGTGGTTAAGATTAGTGGTTGCTGTTGCAGAGGACCAGGATTTGATCCCCAGCACCCACATGGTAGCTAACAACCATCTGTAACTCCAGTTCCGGAGATCAGATTCCCTGAGGGGATCAGATGAACTCTGAGAGCATTCCATGACACAGGTGTGCTTACACACATGCAGGCAATGCACTCACACACATAAAATAAAAATCAGTGGTTAAGATTAGTGGTTGCTGTTGCAGAGGACCAGGATTTGATCCCCAGCACCCACATGGTAGCTAACAACCATCTGTAACTCCAGTTCCGGAGATCAGATTCCCTGAGGGGATCAGATGAACTCTGAGAGCATTCCATGACACAGGTGTGCTTACACACATGCAGGCAATGCACTCACACACATAAAATAAAAATAATAAATAAAATATTAAAAAAATATTGAAGTGTAATCATCAGATAAAAGGTATTATTTAATAATTTATTCTAGTCCCCTCTGCTTATTTCGTAAAGTGCTATATCACTATCTACACAGTAAAAAAGACAATGAAAATAAAACAGAGCTCTGAAAAGAGAATATTAAAAGAGAATATTAAGGTTTTATGTAAACCAATACCTAAAGGTCCTGTTTCTAGTGAACTAAGAAAGTATCTAGTGACCGGTTGGAAATTTTAGCAACTTTACCTTAAGACAGAGAAATCATGAAGGGCTTAGATTAAGTAAAGATTGACTGCCATCCAAATCCTACAGAAAAGTATGTGGCAATGGTCTTCTTCCTACCTTTCGCTTGATGTTTTCCAGAAGACAGGCTCCTCCTCTTTTGAAGAGTGGATGCTGAAACTCCAAATACACTTTATTTTCCTGATTAGCCTGTCCATTCTGCAATGCAACCACTTTTCGAAAACCATCTAGTAAAGGGAACAAAAAACAAGCTAAAAATGAATGGCTAGAACAGACTCTAACAAGAGAGTTGGAATAACCAGAACAAATAAGCAGTATTCAAAATGTTTGATGGCCATGATATGATAATTTTGTGTAATCTAATAGTTTAATTTCAAACTTGGATATGATTATTGCTTTCTATTTCTCTTTTCTCTGTCTCGCTCTTCTCTCTCTGTCTCTCTCTCTGTCTCTGTCTCTCTCACTCTCTCATATGCATGTGTGTGTGCAAGTATACATGCTGGTGTACCTTCCCATGAAAGAGCATGGAGACACACAGGTTGTTATCATGTATGTCTTCCTCAATCCCTTTTCCACCTTATTTTTTAAGACATCATCTCTCACTGAAGTTAGAACTTGCTGTTTGGGCTAGACTGTCTGTCCATGAGCCTCTGAGATCTCCTTATGTCTGCTCTCTACCCCGCAACACTGGGGTTACAGGTGTGCATCATCACATCTGCTTTTTATGTGGGTGCTGCGAATCTGAACTCAGATCCTCACACGTGCATAACAAAGATTTTATCTACTGAGCCAATACCCCAAGTGCAGGTACTGACATTTCAATTGCTTAATTTAATTTGCTTATATACAACTTATAAGTGACTATGGTACAGAGACGAATAGACTATATA